TTCTCATTGGCAACTTCCAAAAGCTGCACTAAATTGGCATTCATGCATCTCCTCAGTAATTTGGTCGTCCTACATATCCCAATCGCCACCCCCAAATTTCAAACCATATATGCTTATTATTATTGTTTTATAGTTTTTATTAATCTCTATATGTGAAAGATTCACCAGTATTAAGTGGCAAGGGTTGATGATTAGCAAAATAATTAAGGTTTGGAGTTTTGAGAACTACTTGTTTAACTAGACGTGTGAGTATGTTTGTTGTCCACTTGTTGTTGACGAAATTAAAGTTCTCTTCCAACAAACTGTTGATGTAATGATCAAATCATATAGATGGTTGATCGAATTTGTAATACAGGTCTTGACTTGGGTTCGTGGAGACTATTGTCACCTCTTTTAATTTAAGCTCTTCTTTTATTGTCCAAAGAGATCCGACTTTTTCTTAATTTTTTCCGTTTTCCTCTACGTGTTCTATTAATAATGTGGTGAAATCAGGTTAATTTTAAACACTCGCCTTTAGAGTTTGAAAATTTTTCGTTTCAAGTGTAGTTTCAATTTGTAGAAGCTAATTTGAGCTTTTAGGTCGAAAATCGCTCACTTTTGAGTATGAATTTTATTTATAAAATTCCACATAATATGTCGTTGGTAGGTATGTATATTTTATATATCAATGATACCTATTAAACTTTTTATAAATAAAAAATAAAAAATATATAAAATGAGAAATATAAAATTTCATTTTTCCAAATAAAATTAAACAACTGTCAAATTTTGGACGCATTGAAAATATAGATCGCATTCAAATATTACTCAAAGTTCTGATCCATAGTATCTAAATCAATTTTATAAAGCCGTTTCTCTCTCTCTCTCTTTGAATCTTCCATAAATTCTGAATAAGTTAAAAGACGAGAAGAAAATGTTGGAAGATAAAATATTCATTGCATCCTCATAAGTTTTTGTGCTTTGATTTATCAACTTCTCAGCTTCAATTTTAGACCAAAAATATAATTAATAATAGATGTTATTTATCTTTAATTATCAATGTTAAAATGGAAAGTAGAATAATGAAATTAATAACTAATCTATCTAATAATTAAAATACAATACATCGATAAATAACACACGATTCTGATTGGACATTCACAACTCATAATAATTTAGCGATAATGTAGATGCTTTTTTAAAATACAATACCTTGATAAATGACACACGACTCTAATTGAATATGTACAATTCATAATATAGAGATAATATAGATGCTTACTTGATTAGTGAATTAATTGATTAAATTTTTAATTTGTACTTATTTTAAAAGATATATGTAAAATAAAAAATAATGAAAAAAGAGCCATGACTAGCATTCAAAGTTCTACGAACTTCATCAATAATCATGGTCGGTTTGTAGATGTAATTTTATAATATTAGCTTATATTCACGGGAGTTTACATAGCTAATATTGATAATTTTTTGTTTCAAAATTTTTAATTTAAAAATAGTAACTAAAACTTGAAAGCAAATAACAATAAAATATATAATTAATAAATAAGATTAATGTGTTATGGAGAGAAATATGTGATTCTCCGTCTCTTTATAAATTTTAGAATCTATCACTCAACTTAAATCTTGAGAAACGAGTAACTTTTTTTATGATCGCTATGGGAAGACAAAGCTAGAACTAACAGGTAAACTACACCACAAGTTCATGGTATGATCGGATCTAGGGCACGACCAGATCTAAAATATGACTAGGAGCCAGTTCCAAAGCAGGATGAGATCCATAGCATGACCAGGCCACGGTCGACCGATCGATCGAGAACTCCGACAATGTTCATCTGATGACCCGAACCTACTTCAACCTTGGTAAAATCCTACTATGGGCTGACGACACCTGAATTTGACATCTATCCCTCAACAAAATGCTCAGGTCAAGAATGGTTCGTTTCCTAAGGACGTCACGGTTGAATATCTATAAATAGAAGAGCAAACTAAATCCTAAAGGTATGCAAGATATACATGACTCTTTCTATTCAATTATTCTGATTCTGATTTAAGTATCGGAGCCTGTGTGACTACAGCCACACCGGTATTCAGTATTGTTTGGTTTTGAAAGTTTGACTTTACAGGTTGACGTCCTTTGATTTCATTATTAATAATGGGTGCAAATTTGACGGAATCTTAATAAACGAAATTTCGACATCAATAATAACAATATATGTTTTAAAATTTATTAGATGAATTATTATTTGTTTATTTGAATGATCTCTTTAGTTATAACTTGTGAGATGTGTTACACAAAGGTTTTAGTTAGAGCCTAAACTACGAGAGAAGCACATGTTTATTATAGCATAAATTTCAATAATCCCACCAAGTATGAAAATAATAACAACAATATAATTAAAAATTTTGATTATTGTCTTGTCTTTCTGCCCCCAATTTTACTAACTTATTACAAATTTAGCACGTAAATAGGCGGCGGGCCCCACGTGCACAAATTCCTATGTCTGCCCACGTTACCCCTAGTACTGTCATCTGCAGCTGCGTCACTGGAAAAGGAAATTTCGGTGACGTAAGCGTCTAAAATGATAAAAAAGTTCAAATATATATTTGCAAAAGGACATTTATTAATATATTATTAAGTTTTATTATAGTAATTAATTACCAACAAAATTCTTGCACTGGTTCACATGCAAATAATGTTGCTCTTATATTATTCTTTTGAAATTATTTTAAAATTCTCTGTATTTTAACATATTGTAGGTATTTTCTTGTATTTATTTGTCTCGGTATTAATAAAAAAATTGCCGGAGTAATATTTGCAACATTTCTTATTTTTAATTCCAAATCATTCATTTATTCCTTTCGTCCTAAGTTAAAAAATAATTAGTTTGAAATCTGCACAGTTTAAAATATGAATGTTATTTACAAAAGATGAAAAAAAAAATGAAGACAGATACTTTGGATATAAATAAAATTCGAAGTAACTCAAATCAAAATTTTACGTGATACTTTTAAAATTGTTTTAGCTAATTTAACAAATAAAAAAAGGAAAAAAAAAGCTAAATATGATTTTGAAGAACATGACGGTTATTGATGTCCTCTTAATTGCCCTCTATTGAAAATTTTGAATACTTGCACCTTGAATATTGTTCTACTCACCGTTAAATATTTGTCAAATCGTTACTATTTAAAAATAAATAAATAAATATATATATATATATATATATATATATATATATTTTGCATTTATTGTTGAATAATAAACTATTTTCCTATTAGAAAAGTGTGAAATTATAGATTTTTTAAAAATAATTATGAGTTCTAGTCTAAGTATTTTGAGTGGTTTATTAACCCATTCTTCCCTAATTTTATTTAAATTCCGACAAAATTTTTTAAAACTGTAGTCAAATTTGATAAAACTTTTGGTCTGTATTTTCTTGTTTACAGAAATGAATGTCATTACTACTGCGTTTTATTTTCCAGTAAAAAGTAGTGGGGAAAAACGTATCCTTTGTCCAAGATTTCTAGTGAAAGATCGAAGGAACAAAAAACCAAAAAATAAAACAAACACATTAATAGTTTTAAAAATTTTGTCTATTTAAAAACGTTTCGTACAAAGAAGGAAAAAAAAAACAGAATTGAAACAGAAAAAACAAAAAGCTTAATTAAAATTTAAAAAATCAAAATTTTCTGGTTGATAATGTAATATTAGTTTTTATCATAAATTTCAATTTCATTTAATTATACCTTAAATTTAGATAAATCTTACAATATTTACTTTAAACTTCAAAAAGTATTATAATTTTTACCTTAAGTGTACACCTTTCATCTTATAGACTTTGTTAGAAGAGTTGTTAAAAATATATTTTAATTCTGAGTTGGATGAATTATACAACATATGTATGGTTCATAATTAACAATATTTCACTAAAAATTTCTTAAAAAAAAAAAGAAAAGAAAAGAAGAAAGATTTCATTAGAAAAAAGGATATTAAATGGTGTAAAATTTGAAGTTGATGAGTTTTGATAGTTTTTTTCTTTTTTAGTGAACGTTTTGACAGTGAAGGTTTTTTTTAGTCATTCAATAGTGCAAAATTTTATTTCCATTTAGACCAATGAAGTTTTAGGGATTGTTATCTTGTTTTTCTAAAATGCATCTTTGTACATGTATTTTAATTCAGCTTTGGTTTATTTTGGCCCTACTACTTTTAAAATATTTATTTTGATTATTGTATTTTGAACGTTAGTTCATTTTAATTATCGTACTTAATTATATGTCAATTACTGTTCTGCTCGCTTTGGTCAAAAGTGACAATTTTGGTCTTTTAATCTCATTCTTTCTATTACAACATCAACATCACACTACATTTAATATAATTTTTAAAATGTGACTTTATGTCATGTATAAAATATCACTTTTTAAAATTATAGGACGAAAATGAACATTTTGGAAGCATAAAAACTAAAATAAATCATGGTTGAAAGTACAATACCAAAATGAATATTTTGAAAAATAAAATGATATGAATTGAAGTTTATAATATAAGAACCAAAATAGTATTTTAAGYTAATTAAGAGTTAGGAGAGAATTAACACAAATCAATTATAGGGATACAAATTGTAAATACCTACTTAAATGGACCAATGAGATTGAGAAGGTAGGGCATGTAAAGATGATGAAAATAAACCACAGGAAACCAACCAACTATTCAGACGCCCGCCCTCGCTCATCACGTAGCAAGAACAGTAGAACCAACCCAAAATTTCGAAATTAATTTTGGTTTTCTAAGAAGTAATCTCACATTAATTTTGCATAATACTTCCAAGTGTTTCGAATCCACATTGATTGCAGAGCGAATTTTGAGACGGAGAGAGAAGAAATTTGCACGCTGTAGACACACAGCTGGATGTGGATAACAAAAAAAAATTACTCCGAATCTCAAATTGTAAAAACCCAGCGGTTATCTTAATCTTACTCTACCGACTCAGAATTTCATCTCTATCCATCCACTTCTCTCTGTCTCTGTATATATAAACCTTCGCTTCTCCTCCTCTGCGGTGCCCTTCTGATTCCGCTGTTTCTCTTCGTCTGGAAGAGAAAATACTCTAATTGTTTTGTTTCTACTTCTGATTTTGATCCAGAGAAAAAAGAAAATGGATGTTCTGCACTTCTTGTTCGGCGTTCTTGGTCAGTTCAAGTTTATGTTAGTTTGAGATGAGATTTGTTTCTGTTTACAAATAAGTGTTCATTTCTTTGTTTTTCTTCTTGCAGGAAATGCGACTGCTCTGTTTCTGTTCTTGTCGCCAATGTATGAACAAGAATCCTCCCTCTCTCTCTGTTTTTGTTTCTTCTTGCATGTTCTTGCCGGCGATTTCTTCCTCCAATTCGACTGAGGCTTTGATTCTGTTTTAAATTTTTCAGAATTACTTTCAAGAGAATCGTAAAGTGCAAATCGACGGAGCAATTCTCCGGCATTCCCTACGTCATGACGATGCTCAATTGCCTTCTCTCTGCTTGGTACGATTTCAAAATCCGAAATCCGAAATCCAAAATCACTCTCTGTTTTTGATTTTTTGTTTGTGTTTTTTGAAAAGGTATGGTCTGCCATTTGTGTCCCCACACAACCTATTGGTATCGACGATCAACGGGACAGGGGCGGCGATTGAGATCATCTACGTGTTGATCTTCCTGATCTACGCGCCGAAGAAGGAAAAGGCGAAAATCGGCGGGCTGTTTACATGTGCGATGGCCGCCTTCGCCGCCGTGGCGCTGGTCTCGCTCTTCGCATTGCACGGCCAAAACAGAAAGCTCTTCTGCGGCCTTGCTGCTACCATTTTCTCCATCCTCATGTATGGCTCGCCGCTCTCCATAATGGTAAGTAAAATCAAATCTCAAACAACAACACACTTTTCAATTTTTATTG